TTAAAGGAAGTATGTCTCAAAATCATTTTGCTATGAGATAAGTTATCATTTCGGATCACGCGGGGTCCAGCTGCGCTTACCTGCAGTCGTGAATGCAGTGATGGACAGCTGTCTTTCCTCATTCGACTGTTTGGATTTCATGTGATTTCTCATTGTGGTGATGATATTATAACTCAGGTTAATTAATTAATTTGATCAAAAGTAATTCCATTTAGTAAGATCATTTTCAAGTAATTCCAAACTTCGCGAGGCAGACGACAACATTATGTGATCAAATACACACAACTTGTTACACTCCACAGCGCCACCCAGTGCATTTAATTATAGTTGCGAGTTAGTGCTTGGGATTTATCATGGATTCACTGCAGCCAGCAAAGCAACGTAGTAAAATTCGAATAGTATAGATTGTACCCCCCTGCATTTTCATTTTTTTCACATTAATTTCTATGTTAGCCATTTTTGACTGCGAGGAGTAAAAGTGACTTTAAAGGGGGAAAAAATCTAATCATGTCCACAAGTTTCTTGGCGTTCACATAGCAAGTGCCACAATAGACACCAAGTGTCATACCATTCTGAAGTAAAAAAAAAAAAGTAATAGAAAAAATTATGTCAAATGTGACTGAAGCGCAGCAGAGGGCTAATTAATTCTAGAATTTTTATATACATTACTAACCCTTTTTTATGTTATTATAATTATGGCATTTTTCCTTTTCATTCATGTGAAATAGGCTACTTGTTACTCATGTTAAAGGGATACTCCACTTTTTTTGGAAATAGGCTTATTTTACAACTCCCCCAGAGTTAAACTGTTGAGTTTTACCGTTTTTGAATCCATTCAGCCGATCTCCGGTTCTGGCGGTACCACTTTTAATATAGCTTAGCATACATCACTGAAGTGGACAAGACCATTAGCATTTCTCAAAAAAAAATGACCAAAGTGTTTCGATATTTTTCCTATTTAAAACTTGACTCTTCTGTAGTTACATCGTGCACTAAGACCGACGGAAAATGTAAAGTTGCGATTTTCTAGGCTGATATGGCTAGGAACTATACTCTCATTCCTGCGTAGTAATCAAGAAACTTCACTGCCGTACCATGAGTGCAGCAGGCGTAATGATATGACGCAGCGCCTGAAAATAGTCCCCAGCTCGGTAACTTCCAGCGTGACCGGGACTAAGTGCCTGCGCCTGCTGCACTCATGGTACGGCAGTGAAGTTTCTTGATTACTACGCAGGAATGAGAGTATAGTTCCTAGCCATATCAGCCTAGAAAATCGCAACTTTACATTTTCCGTCGGTCTTAGTGCACGATGTAACTACAGAAGAGTCAAGTTTTAAATAGGAAAAATATCGAAACACTTTGGTCATTTTTTTTTGAGAAATGCTAATGGTCTTGTCCACTTCAATGATGTATGCTAAGCTATGCTAAAAGTGGTACCGCCAGAACCGGAGATCGGCTGAATGGATTCAAAAACGGTAAAACTCAACAGTTTACCTCTGGAGGAGTTGTAAAATGAGCCTATTTCCAAAAAAAGTGGAGTATCCCTTTAATGCTTATTTATTGTAAAACACTGCTTTCCATGTATGATAGATTCAAATAAAGTGTGCTCTCCCATGCAGGTTGTTTGACCTACCAATAGAAAACAGCATACCTCAAAAGACAAGAAATACTCACCGAGTCTTGGACCTGGAGCGAGAACGAGACTTGGAGCGAGTGTGGTGGGACCCCTCTTTTGACTGAGCAGGTGAGCGATCCGGTGAGTGACTGGCCGACTTAGCAGATCCTCTAGGACTTGCGCTCCTAGAGGCCGAACGGGACTCCTAAACCAACCACATCCAAATCACGTTAAGAGCCAGAGAACATGGTCATACTAAGAATGTTAAACTAATAATTGTGTATATATAGAAATGAGTTTGAGACCAATCTAGGCTAGGATAATATGCAGCGATGATGGCCTTTTCACCGCAGGCATATGAACTAGTGTAAAAGCAATTTACTTTAATACACTTACAATATAAGAATTTGCAGTTTGACATGTAATGCATCAAATTATGTATGAAAATAACTATTTGTAAATCTCTCATGCTACAGGACAATAATTATTACTGCAATACAAAATGAACAAAATATTTATGCATGCACGCATGGGACAAACATACTAAGAGTTACTTAGCGCTGCGATCTTATCCCAGATAACTTCTGATCTTAACTTCATTACACATCTTTTCTTCTTTCTTCAGTTTCAATTTCATTTCTGACTTCATTCCTCTTCCCCCATTTCTCTCACTGCCCATAAATGCTATATGGGAACTTCTTTTGCTCCGCAATATTAGCATGCACTGACAATTCAGCTTCAAATTATTCGCATTAACAACTTGACATTTGACTTCGTCCAGATTTCTCTTCTTCCAACCTTAACCTTAACAAAAAAGAAAAGGATGAAGAATGTGTAAACACTGGACATTACAACCAAGAATCCTATTGATTTATTAGTGTGGGAAAAACATTATAGATGAACCAACAGAAATGTAAAGTAAGCTTTAGTTTCCATTATGACAAACAATTAGATTCTTTCAGATGCATCCTGAGTCTTATTCATGCAAAAACAAATGTACATAATTTGCATTTCTTGTAATATTACAAGAACATTTACAATTACAATATACATTTCAAGCCTGCTGGCTACTTTTAAATAAAAATACACGTGATTTTGAAACTAACTTGCATTTTTTTTTTTTTTTTTTGCTTTAAGGCTCAGGATGACCTTCTCTCAAGTATTAGCATAAGATTATTAATCATACAAGTTATATCTGTTTAATTAAACATGCAATGAGAAAACAACACATAGGACTGTAAAACATTTTGCTTTACGTTACTAGTGAAAAGCGAACACTGAAAAGCAAATAAATGCATTTCTAGTATGAAAGCACGTTGTCTGTCTGCTAGCACTGAAGTTGGCTAACGTTAACTGGATAACGTTACTTGGATTTCGGTACAAATCCAGGTTACGTGTAGCTACGTCATTTTACAGAGGTATTTTTTATAAATGTTAAGGAGTAAAGGCATCGAGTCATTGCATTTGTAGGCTACATAATCAGCTTTTTAAAATAAAAATAACAATGAATGAAGCCTGTCTGGCTGGCTAACATACAATATGGAGGCCATTTCTAGAAGAAACATGGCGCGTGCAAAAAGAGAAAACGGTAAAAACACTACATACCCGCTTCACGAATTCCTTCTCGGCGTCACTCATTGTTGTTTAATATATATTACGCTGCAATTGTAAAACTATGTGAGAAATTGCAGATAACACAATACAAACAGAGCGCCCAAACACACAAAAATCGGACCTCTGTTAATGAACGCCTGTCTCCCGGTCGTAGAGGCTTTATTTAGAAACTAGCGTTTCCACTCCCAACCACCATCCGCAAGAGGGCGTCAAAAATACTACTCACGGATAAATGCTTTTTGGCACAGCATGTACACTATTTATACGTTTATAGTAGAAGTACACAAACATACTTTTATAAATTAATTTTGATTACATAGCAATTTAGTGCAAAGGTTAACCAAAACACGGAGAGGCTGTTTTTCTTATAGAAAGATTCTTTACTACTCAGTAAGCAAAGAGCTGATTGGTCGATAAATAATGGCGGTTATCTTGTGCAAGACCGCAATTGGACGGCGCTGATAGTGATTCTTCCCAAGTTCACTACACTCGAGAATATATGAATGGGAAATACTGCCGCATAGCAAAGTTTAAATTGTATTTCCGCGATTTTCTTCTCTTGACTTTGTTTTGAGATGAGATACCCTGAACAAATAAACACTTATTTTTTCTCGTATTTAAATGCCAGTTGTGTTGCCTTTGTTTTGTTTAGTTTAAAGCCAACACAGCACAGTACATTTGACAAGTAAAAGTGCGCGTAGGCCTATAGATAATACAAATAATGCCTTGTAATTTGATTTCCACCGGATAATAGGGATGATGAGAATATGTATAATTTCTTCTCTGCAACCCTAACCTTCTAACCCTGCCTGAAGAACGCAATAGCCTACACAAATGTTTTTAGCACATATAGATTATGAAAACTGTACTGATTATGAAACCACAGATTAAGAAACCCCTGCTGAGCAACAACAACAAAATCCACTATGGCAAATGCAGGTTAACTGGGCAACTTTTTGCAGTTAATCTCAAAAGTGATCCAATTTACCTGAATTCGCTGTTTTCCACCCAGTCCAGTTTTGTCATACCACATAAGATCCAGTAGATGGCGCCTATACGATGCAAAATTGCATTTTTGAAAGTGCTGCTCACTGCAGAGCCAATGACGTCCAGCTCCCCTTCTCTGGACGTCATGGGTGGAGCTTGACATAGTCCATCGTCAGGGTAAGGTTAGGATTAGCCCAGATTACATTCAGAGAGGGGGAGCTGCATGTCATGCTCCACCCATTGCCTCTGCAGTGAGAAGCCTCTCCATTTTTGTGTAATTCATTGTAATGCGTGACATAGGTAATGTCATCCCCTTAACATTATTGTAGATTTAAACATCTTTTATTTAAAAGACTTTCCACTCAAATATCCAAGAACACAATCAATAAACACATGTAGTCTATAAACTACACCAACAACACGTCACTGTAGGCTATATGTATTATAGTACAAGACAATATTTTGATTTGACAATCATTTCCCCTTCAGCCTTTGCTTCCAAGACAAGATGAATATAGTCTGCAGTTCATAACAAACTCAAAAGGTGAAAATGTTTAATTCAACCAAAATGATGCTGTGCTGGAACAACAGTAAATGACTAATAATCACTAGTCATATATAAATATAATAGCTTATATGGCACAGCTGGTTTATAATTATGACAGAGAATCAAAACAAAACAGATAAAACATTGTCCATAAGATGACCAACAACACATTAAGTTCTAAAATAAGTTAGTTGTAATATAAAAAGAAAATAGTCTGTGTATTTTTCATTGATCTACTATAAATGTTATGAAGATTTTATTTATTAATTGCATATACTTGAACATACTTCAATTTCATGTAAAGGCCTTCTAATAAAACAGTGTAAATTGGTAGCAAACAGTACAGTACAGTTAAATAGTGTCTTTGATGGCAGATAAAAGCTATTTGTCTATGCAGTCGTTCATAAATTGTGGTATAGAATAGTTAGCTGCCTTCATGTGCAGAGTAATGATGCATAACCACAGGACATAATTACATTTTAATCAACAAAGCATGTTGATGAACTGTGTGCAAGTAAGTGCAGGTTTGAGTCTTCAGAAATATGTTATTTTGCATGTTGGGAACATCTTGTTGTGCTGTTGTCGTTCAGGAGGTCAGTGGACTGATTTGAGTGTTAGTGTGGAGATTCATCCTTCAGCGGGTTTCAAGGCATGTCATTAAGTGGATTTCGATTTTGGATACAAGTTCTGTATAACTTTTATATAGAAGAATATCTCATTTTAGGGGTTTATTTGTTTTCCAGTTAATGAGTTATCGTTTCGTCAACTAGTCTCCCTCCCAGCAGATCTGTCCCATATACAGTCCATATGTCCAGTGTCACTATATGGTCCTTAATTTAAGGACTTTAGAGAGAGCAGCTCTAGCACTGGAGTAGATGAGGTAGGAGCCATCGGTTGTGTTAAAAAATTCCCAGTCTCTGCAGCCATTGGTGCGGAGTCTGTGCACAGGGACAAAGCCCTCATAACCCTGCCACCTGCAAAATACACATTTATGAAGTTATTAAAACATTTTCAAGAATGCATTGCATTGTCAGATCATCAATCTACTCTTATGACGATTATTTTTTTCATATAATATTGCACTATTTACTACTTATACTAGTATCTTCCCCTCTCTGATGACGTGTCTACTGGCGCAAAGGCGAGACAACTTGTCACTCACGTGACATCACAGCAGTACCAAACCACAACCATCCAATCAATTCCCGATGGACAAAATCAAGCCCCGCCCTACATTTTTTCTTGTTTAATAACCCATTTCACTTTACGTTAGATTCACACGGGTCGTCGGTGTAAACCATAGACTATAAAAAATGGTGTAAACGTTTGACGGAGGGCGTGTCTGAAGCGTGGTGCTGATGCAACCGTCATAGTGACAACAGCCAATCACATTCCATTCCGGTGTTGCATGAACACAATTGGCTAGCGTCTACGCTAGGGTATTTGCATAAAGCTAATGCATAATCTGATTAGCTAACGCCTGCGTTGGCGCTTGAAAAGTTGAACATTTTCAACTTCTGCTGCAAGCATCGCCAGTGACGCGACGCAACGGAACCCACAATTTAGTTCGGCAATGCATGATGTCACCCATTCAAAGTAAATGAGAAGCATTAGGGCCTGATGTACTGAGATGTCATACACTGATCGGTCTGTGCGATCGAACAAGCCTTTGATATGTGCCACAATAGGAAAGAAAAGACTATTGCAACTTCCCCAGTTTTTGCTCACCCTCAAAAAGGGACAATTTTAACATGCTATAAAAAATTATCTGTGGGTATTTTGAGCTAAAACTTCACATACACATACTTGTAAAATTAAAGCTACAGTGTGTAATTCCATGCACACAAGTGCATGGCAACAAACAGAATTGCAATCTGGCTGTTTGGTGCAGGACGGTCAGGGGATCTCTGGATAATCCGTAATTCGTTTGTAATTATAAAACGAAAATACCGTTTTTCTGTTTTTTGTTTCAAAACGAGAAACCAAATAACCAATTTTGGTGTCAAAATCAAAAAACGAAAAACCAATTAAAAACGGTCCGTTTTTCGTTTTTGGCGATCATTTTTATCGTTATTCCTTTTTGAACAAACAATGAAGAGAGTCTTTGAACTTCCGTCTAGTCGTTTTTCGTTTATAAACAAAAAACGGAAGTCACGTGGTCTATTCCTTATTTGGAAGCGAAAGTAACCGGTAACACTTTCAAAATAAAAGTAACTATAGTTAGCGAGGTGATTGTAGACTAAAACTGAACTAATATAAAAAATTTTAGTACAACTAAAGTAGCACTGGTTGTGAAAAAAACACTTTAGTTAACTGAAATAAAAATTAAAACTAATAAAATAATAACTCTTAATAAAATTAAACATTTGTAAGACCATTGGTGACCTCTGTAACTTCAGATTAAGACAAGTGAACTTATTTTATATGTAGCTTAGGATAGGTAGCCTATTTATTTATAAGTTTCTATTATTTAATTCACATTTTAGTTTTGTAACATATTTATGACAACAAGCAACAAAGGTTTGACCTTTTGACCTTTTCACCTGCCTTCCAGCTCCTCTTTCTATGGCACTATATCTGCTAAACACTCTTAGCTTCCACCATCTACTGTTACCCCTTCTGTGTCAAAACAAAACTCTTCCAAAAACAAATCTATAAAGTTGTATACTTTTTATTTTCCTTTGCATTTTTCTCCAGTGTAATATACTTATTATGTTAGTTAAGTAGATTAAATATTTGTTATGCAGCTTGTAGTTCTCATTAGTTATGTAGACCTACTTGTGTGTGAAACCTAGCATAACTCAGTCAAAAATGATCTCTAGCTCTGGGACTTTCAGACCTTTTAATGCTTTTTTGGGTTTAATTCTGTTTGATGAACCACCAGGGAAAGGCAGTGCTCTGTACTCTTGGTACTTGTGTAAAGTAAAATAAAAGTGAAGTTAAATCATTTAGGTTTTTCTACCTGGTACTCATGTCAGGGCCTCCCAGATTTCCCCAATACCTGGAGGATGTGAGCCTGTGCACTGTGTGCAGGGTTTAAGGACTGATGATAGTACCAAGACTGGCCCCAGTCACTCTCTCATCTCTTCAAATAAATGCTGGACTGGCAGGACAAAGCAGCTCACCACTCCTTCCTCCGGCACCATAAAAGGGCCTTGTTGTCACTTTCAGATATTTACATCATGGTTTATGGTAAGCCACATCTTTGAATTGTGGCACTACTTTTGTGGAATTGGATATTGAAATAAGTGTATACTAAGACTAATTGTGACTTTGGTGCTACAAGTGCGGCACCCAGAGTCACTAGTAATGCTTCTGTTGGAAATAGTGGGACACAAGTGCCTCTAAATGGAGTGTAATGGAAACTGTTAAAAAGAGTGACCAGGGCACAAATTAGTGGTTGATTTTCCTTTATCACCAGCCCAACAAACAATACTACTATTATGTTTATGGTTAAAATTGAACATTCACCCAAACAAATTTTTTTTTTTTAGTTGTCACAGGTAGAACTATTCTTTATGCTTTTCATTAAGTTATTTATTTAAATGTATTGTTGTTATTCTAGTTCTCATGGCTGTGCTGTGTTTATTTAATTTGCTTGACTGTTTCTTCTTTTGATTCTCCCTCAGTTGTTTTCTTATGTTAGCTGTTTATTGCTGTTATTTGGCTGGTTGTCTGGTTTCACACACAAGTAGGTCTACATAACTAATGAGAAATACAAGCTGCATAAAAAAATATTTAATCTACTTAACTAACATAATAAGTAGGCTATATTACACTGGAGAAAAATGCAAAGGGAAATAAAAAGTATACAACTTTATAGATTTGTTTTGGAAGAGTTTTGTTTTGACACAGAAGGGGTAACAGTAGATGGTGGAAGCTGAGAGTGTTTAGCAGATATAGTGCCATAGAAAGAGGAGCTGGAAGGCAGGTGAAGTTCTACACACCCTTCAAACTCAGTGATTAGCTTCTGTTGGTAGCGGTGCTTGCCTTCTCTTTGATATAAACACAAGTCAAAAGGTCAAACCCTTGTTGCCTGTTGTCCCACAGAAAGAGTCGGTGCACAGAAGGGGGTAGAAAGACCTCTGCTGGTTGAGCTTCCACATAGCAATAAGGGCTATAAATATGTTACAAAACTAAAATGTGAATTAAATAATAGAAACTTATAAATAAATAGGCTACCTGCTATCCTAAGCTACATATAAAATGAGTTCACTAGTCTTAATCTGAAGTTACAGGTCACCAATGGTCTTACAAATGTTTAATTCTCCCTAACAGCCAGAGTTATTATTTTATTATTTTTAATTTTTATTTCAGTTAACTAAAGTGTTTTTTTCACACCCAGTGCTACTTTAGTTGTACTAAAAAACGTTATATTAGTTCAGTTTTAGTCTACAATCACATCGCTAACTATAGTTAGCCAACTTTTATTTTGAAAGTGTTTCCGGTTACTTTCGCTTCCAAAAAAGGAATAGACCACGTGACTTCCGTTTTTGGTTTATAAACGAAAAACGAATAGACTGAAGTTTAAAGACTCTCTTCATTCTTTGTTCAAAAAGGAATAACGATAAAATGATCACCAAAAAACGAAAAACGGGCCGTTTTTAATTGGTTTTTCGTTTTTTGATTCTGACACCAAAAACGGTTATTTGGTTTTTCGTTTTGAAACAAAAAAACAGAAAAACGGTATTTTCATTTTATAATTACAAACGAATTACGGATTATCCAGAGATCCCCTGATCCAGGACTATCTGTTTAGGAAACATTTGCCTTTGCATCTTTAACCATGTCTGACAGAATGACATTTACACTAGTTTATTCTCTGTAGAATCATCCAAATCAACCTAAGATACGAGGTTGTTTCTTTTGACAATTTTTTATAATGAAACTATAGCACAAATTAAAGACTTTGAGAATGACATTTTGAAATAATATATGGCATATTTTAATGTCTTTTAAGAAATGTCTAACTCCTGCATCTTAATGGGGTCTGCAGACCCACAGTTGAAAACACTGGTGATCTCCTTTTGTGTTCTGTGGGTGAATGGAAGTGAAAATTACATGAAAGCTGTCATTTTTCTCAGCTTCATTTGATCTCTTCCCTATATTTTAAGGCAACAACAAAAAAACGATTTTCTTTGCACTAAGCGTTAGATCCTGCTATTTAAACTAAGCGCAAATAGTGGCAGATATTTGCACCTCAGTGTATTGTAGTATACTTTACAATAAAACAGTATGCAATAATAACAACATATTCAGTTGTAATAACAATCATATTCAGCATCTGATTATATTTATTAAAAACACACTAACCCTTACTGATAATGAAAAAGCCGACTCCACTCATCTTACCCGCCACATCATTGCTCCTGTTATCAGCGGGATGTCTTTTGTAATTTTGACTGGCTCGATCAGACAATGGTGGACGGAGTTACTGTAAATAGCCTTTGCCAACAAGGCGGGCTATTTGCACTTGGTGTAAATGGACACTCCGTTAATTTAATGTATACTGGATGAGAGCTGTACCTGTATATAACACTGTTAAGAGAGTATGAGGTTCCATCATAGGAGTTGGCGACCACCAGGAACTTGTCATCTCCCACAGTAAAAAACTCCCAGTCCAAAGCACTGAAAGATCCGGACAAAAAAGTGTCCCTTAAATAAAAATGTGACAGCTAAAGTAAAGAGTTTTTTTTCCTTTCTTATGAAGGCCAGTTCACAATTCACCTGTTCGTTTCAATATCCTGAAACTTGATGAAGGTCTGAGAAGCCATGCTGAGCTCATAGATGGTGGAGTTGATGGAGTACTGAATCTTGCCATCTTCCGTTAGCATCTGACTGTTGGCAACAGCCAGGAACACCCTGTTTTCAATCTGGAACATCTCCCAGTCTATTGCCCCAAATGTCTGAAAGGACAATGAGAGAATTAAATGGCAATCCCCAGAATTATTTGTAGCTATGCTAATCATGTCCCACACATACACTATACATTATCATTCAAAAGTTTGGGGACAATAAGATTAAAAACTTTTTTTTTTTTAGTCTCTTACGCTCACCAAGGCTGCATTTATTTGATCAAAAACTTAGTAAAAACAGTAATATAATGTGAAATATTATTGCAATTTAAATTAACCTTTTTCTATTTTAATCTGTTATATGAAAATGTAATTTATTTATGTGATGGCATGGCTGAATTTAAAATTGTGATCATGATTATGATGAGAGAAGATACAATAACATAATTTCACTCACTGTAATGGACTGATAAGGCTGAAACATCCGTCCCAGCCAGATATAGATTGTAGAATCAATGACTGTTGATCTTCCATTGAAAGTATTTGCGACTACGAGGAAGTAATATGGGCCGATGGTGAAAAACTCCCAATCATAAGCACCAGCGGTCGGGATTGTCTGATTGACCTCAAAATACTGGGTAACTGGGTTCCACTTGTAGATTACACTGTCAATATTATGGTTTCTCTCCCCTTTGGACAAAAAAACAACAAAACATATATAAAACTTTAAAACAATTATTCAGTCATATAGCCCATTGTAACACAGAAATCCACATGGACTGGCATGGCTCAGTTTGGATGTATTCCAACATATGCAGGTGTATAGATGGGGCCTATATGGTTATGAAAGGTTACTTTTATGCTTGTGTTTCCGCTTTGATCAATGCCAGAGGCACACGTAAGAACTTCACACGAACGGATGAACACACACTCATAAGCATATAGAAATGAAATGCAGAATCAAAGTGAACCACAAACAAGGAGACCTTTTAGCCTTAAAAAGATTTCCTTGGTGGTCTTTTTGTTCAGATTGTGTGCCTCAAAGACCATAGATTTGTATGAGATCTGTATGGAATTCAATTTTAACCTTCTTTTAGAAATCGTATAAATGAACTTCCTCCCGTGATTGTTCAACAGACAAAAGCTGTGGAGTTACACAGGACAACAACAGAGCCACATGAGATGACAGACATGCATTGAGCTGTTCTGATAAACATTACCTTGCCTATGATTGGCCACGGCGAGGAAAGTTTCGTCTTGAATGTTGAAAGCCTCCCAGTCACGTGCGCTGTGTGTGTTCAGAGTCTGATAGTGAATGAATTTCAGCTTCCTTGAGCTCCATTTGTATATGACCGACTGCTCCTGGTCCCCTGCATCCTTACTTCTGCAGTTAGCAACAACCAGGAACTTCTGTTACAGGAAAATGGTGGTAAGAAATCATGACAGTACAGTATAGCTTCAAGTTAGTTAAAGGGTACTGTGATGAAAAACAAAATTAAACTGTAATGAGTTTTGCACTTCATAATTTTCGGTAGTTTCTGCATCTTCACAGGCCTTTAATTATCCAGGCTGGATTTCAAAGACAGAGGAAAAGGGCTGTGCTGATGGAAGTATTTTAATGAATTGCCTCTACCTCAAAACTTCAGTTTAATGGTGCATTGATTTATCTTTTAATAACTGGTCACTGGTGCAATTACAAAGGCTTCCTCCCTCTATTTCACTTTAAATTGAATATGAATCATATTATCTTCGACTTTCAAGAAGAAAAACATATGGTTAATTGCACTGCAGGTATGAACAGAGTCCCATACGGCTTTTCCAACTCTTGACTGTAATTATGCAGTAAGTTATGGTGAAGAGAAGCAGGAGGTGTCTGCTGTAAATTTTGGATAAAGCATCAGACAAAAATTAATTTCTGTTATTATGCACATGTGATTTACAACATTAAAACTTGAGAGCCAGGTCTCCACCCCTTCTCCCACTTCAAAACCACATCAAAAATCACTCTAATGTGTAAAGAAAAGCTGGGGATGCACCCCACTCAGAGCAAACAGACGTTCAGTACACCGCTCCATCTTTTGATAGTGCCAGCAGCTGTTCCAATTGAAAGCTCAATCAATATCACAGGCTTTCATTTATACAACAGTTAGTTCCAGTCCTCAAATGTTATATATCAGTCCAACAGCACTAACTGTTTGTATCCCTCCTCTTGTGTATGTTTGTTTCAGATACTGTCGGACCCGATCACACTAAATGCGTCTCTATAGCACGCAGTGTGTTTATCGTGCAATTTATACGCGAAAATGAGTTTTTACGTGCATAGGATACGCATGGGTTGGTTAGGGTAGGTTTAGTAGTGGTGTGGGGTGTTTGTATTATACGTTTGGGTAGAATTAGTGGTGTGGGGTGCGTGTGTATTACACGCAAATGAACTGCGTATCAAATGCACGCGAAAACTGCGTATCATATGCACGTAAAAACTCATTTTCGCGTATAAATTGCACGATAAAACACATTGCGTGCTATAGAGACACATTTACGTGAGAACAGGCTGGTCAGACTGTGTATTAGTGTTGGGGATTAGTTTTGTTGGGGATTAGTTATTAGTTTTTTCATTTTAATGAGTAAATAATGAAACCAATTAAAACACACAATGAGTCATCGAATCATTCACTTAACGACTCGTGTAAAAACACTTATTCGTCCAGAACGCTACTATGGTGTTTGAGGACGATTGATTGTGCTGTGAATTCATTTGGGACTGGTTATGTTGGCTGAGCAGAAATAGACAAAGTAACCGGTCTAGCAATATGTTTCTCTAAAAATGCAAGTTACTCAATATTTGCTTGTTATTTGACTGTTGTATAAAAGCAAAAACCCAGCTGAAAGGGAACATTCTCAGAATGCTCTGGCAAGGTTCTTTCAAAGTTGAACAAATATTCTTTCAGTTACGTTAATAGAATGTTCATTCAAATTGATCTGCTCTTTAATAATCTCAAAATGTTAACATAAAAACCTGAATTATAAATTGGGTAACACTTTATAATAACTGCACGCTATTAATCATTAGTAAACAGTTCATTCGTAATTTATAAAACATTAATAGACATTAATAATCAGTTTATATATACAGCTATAAATGCTTTATTCTTGATTTATAAGCAAGCACATATATAATGTGTTTAATAATTGTATTTTCATACTTTATTAATGATCAATTTATCATTTCTAAATGGAGTATTGCATCTTTTACAAACCAGTTATTTAGGAGTTGTCATTGATTCATGAGATCACTTAGAAAGTGTAAATGAAGTTAATTCAGGTAGTTATAAAGCATATAGTGGTCAGTTAACTATTTTTGTGAGCTCATCTAAAGTGAGGACTATTTATGCCTTGTAAAGCTTTTACAAAGTAGATTTAAAGGCTCAGTTATCTTCTAAACAGAAAAATGAAACAAACACAACAGTGATACAGAACATAGAAATATTTAACTGAGCCTTTAAATCTCCTTTGTAAATGTTTTACAAGGCATAAATAGTCTTCACTTTAGATGAGCTCACAAAAATAGTTAACTGACCATTACTAAATGCTTTATAACTACCTGAATTACAGTAGCAATACATGTTAATAAAGCATTTATTAACACACTAAGTAACTATTACTATATGTCTGAATAATAAGATGTATGAATGTACATTTAAATAGTTTATTAATCATTTACTTACACTTTCTAAGTGATCTTATGAACCACTGACAACTAAATAACTGGTTTGTAAATAATGCAATACTTCATTTAGAAATGATAAATTGATCATTAATAAAGTATGAAAATACAATTATTAAACACATTATATGCTTTTAAATAAAGAATAAAGCATTAATTTCTGTATTTATAAACTGCTGAAGTTATTAATGTCTATTAATGCTTTATAAATGATGAATTAACTGTTTACAAATGATTAACTAATGATTAATAGCATGCAGTTATTATCAAGTGTTACCCATTACATAACTAAATGGGAATGTTAGCTAAAAGTTCTTAGAACATATTTTTGTTAGCTGGGATCACATTCTGTTGGTAGCATAAAGTCCACACACACCTTTTTGCCCACTGTGAAGTATTGCCATGCTTGTGCATCGTAAGTGCTGATGTTTTGATATCGTTCAAACTTCCCATCTGTCCATTTGTATATTCCTGAACCGAGGTTGGAATCACGGTTGGCGGTCGCAATGAAAAGCCCTACAGAAGGGATGTGGAAAACTTCGATGTCAAATGTCTCAGAACTGGTGAATAAATCCTGGTGATCCTCCACGTAATCCAGCTTCTCTTTCACTGCAGAGATGCAATGTGATAGTCAGATACCATACAGTGAAAAGTGAAAGTGACATGACTCGGAATTTGTCCTCTGCATTTAACCCATCCAAGTTAGTGCACACACATTAGGAGTAGAGAGTGGTGAACACACACACACACACACACACATTGCAAACCGTGGAGCAGTGGACAGCCATTCACTCCGGCACCCGGGGAGCGATTGGGGTTTAGGTGCTTTGCTCAAGGGAACCTCAGTCATTTCCTGTATTGAGAATCGAACCCGCAACCTTCGGGTACAAGTCTGACTCTCTAACCACTAAGCCATGACTGCCCCATTAAAAAAATTAAATACCTAATAATAATAATAAATCATAAAGACTGAAATATCTATTTCAAACTATAAATAGTAGCTGTACTGCTACAAACTGAAGTTACTGTTAGAAAATCACCTTGCAGCATAGTGAGCCACATAATGCCATCACAGAGAAACAGTCCTTTCTTCAGTGTGCTGAACCACAGCTGTCCCTCCTCAGAGTGTCCACAGGGAGGACTCACACCCGCAGTCACTCGAACCTCTGCCTCTGTGCAAAACAAACAGAGATGTTCAGTTTCAGATATTATATCATCTGAATAAATACTGTCGATGACAAATATATGAACACCTTCCACAGATGGATGGTAGGGAGCTTAGTTTTCACCATTTATTGCATGTAATTTTTAGAAGAATTAGCCTATCCTTTTAGTTAGTTTAATATTATATGATTGTAATATATAACCTATAATCAAAAATAAAATAAATGAATAAAAAAACACATACAGTATATTTTATATCCAAAAAATAATAGGCCTAGTAAGGTGGTTGTTACACTATATGTATATGTACACTATGGATGGATGGATGGATGGATGGATTGGATGGATAGATGGATAGATGGATAGATGGATAGATGGATGGATGGATGGATGGATGGATGGATGGATGGATGGATGGATGGATGGATGGATGGATGGATGGATGGATGGATGGATGGATGGATGGATGGATGGATGGATGGATGGATGGATGGATGGATGGATGGATGGATGGATGGATGGATGGATGGATAGATAGATGGATGGATGGATAGATGGATAGATAGATGGATAGATAGATGGATAGATAGATGGATAGATAGATAGATAGATAGATAGATAGATAGATAGATAGATAGATAGATAGATAGATAGATAGATAGATAGATAGATAGATAGATAGATAGATAGATAGATAGATAGATAGATAGATAGATAGATAGATATAATCTATCTGCAGACTACATTACATAAGGGGAAATAAAGCAAACATGGCCTCTCACTGCCCTGTGACATGTCTCTCAACAGGCCCACGGTATGCAGTATAACAGTGATCTCTGCACAACTACACCCTGCTTTCAAACACCAGCACTTCATCTGAGCCAGAGAGAAACTCAAAGCACAAGGCTGTCAGTCAATGTCAGCGGATCAGTAACAGACCTGTGAGATAGAGTTACTCGCATCCCCATACAATCACAGACCTGTGTTTACAGCTAAAACACACCGCATTCCTGTAGGACTTCAAGATAGTACATAGTGGACATTATAAAACAACTATACTACCTGCACCTCTTCGAGATTAGCTTACATTTGGTCGTTAGTCATCTTCAAGTTACTGAGCAAAGACTTGTGAATGAATTTATGGAGATGCTACACCTTACACGCAAAAGCAAACCATACATGACATATGATAGTGGAGCCCGTTCTCATCCCAAGGCGTAATATACTGACTCTTTTGCCAAAGCGTCTATATCCCACGCACATGGCACCCTTTAGCGTCATATGAGACGCAGATATATGGCGCCTCCTAGTGGTCTAACCCTAACACTACCCCAGACCTAAACCTACCCAAAACCGAAGCGTGTTATATTGACGCTAAAGGGTGCCGTATGCGTTGGATATAGACGCTTTGGCAAAAGAGTCAATATATTACGCTTTGGGATGAGAATGCGTTGGAGCGTGTGTCCCTTCTTTCTACATTCTCAAAATATGTAATTTTCCATCACCAGAGAAGTATATACTTTTAGTGATTAGTATGGATATTGACATGCAGCCGATGATAGTAGTGTTGATGTTTTAGCAGTCTCACCATAAGGGTGAAGGGGAAGGTCAGTGGATGATGGTTTGATTGGCAGGTGTAAGAGAGCCTGAGGAACAGAGAGTGCAGACAGCCGGGGCTCAGATGAGGGACATATTCGTGAGGTAGCATCTGAACCAGGTAACAGAACCAGCTGCCGAATCAGACCCTGTCAATAAAAACAGTGGAATGAACCATTTAGACTTCTAAGTATATTTAAAATCTTAATAAAATAATAAAAAGCATTGAAACGAGATACGTACAGAAAATAAGCCGTTCCATCTCCTTCTGCTAGCAATGAAGAATGTGGAACCAGTTGTATCGAGATCATCGCTGAAGGGGCTTTCAAGCACTCTGTTTGAGACAAAACAGAATCATTTATAAGTTTATGACACTAAATGATATATTTCAACACATAAACACAGATATCATTGCCATTTTGGATCATATATCATTTAAAATCTACAGTATTCCCAAAGAGTCTTACAGCTCGAGGGGTCTGCCACAGTCTACAGTGAGAATTGTGTAGTGTCCCGTCACTGCCAAGACCACAGTGTGCCAACGGTTATCATCCAGTCCTACTGCCTTGAAAGTGGTGCGCTTCTTGGGACCATGGCCCTTCTGCAGGAAGTGAAGATTGTTTTGGGAAAGTCGCAGGCCGAGGAGCAGCTCATCTGAATCTCCGTCCAACAGTGTGAAGATGTATTCACTCTTCTGCACATCAAAGAGTAAACAGTGATCGCTATCACTATTCAGAAATTTGAAACATATTCTAAAGGAAAAGGCTTCTGAAGAATCTTTGATGTTCAAAATCAAGCTAAACAATATCTTAATTTTTTTTTGTTCTCACCTCAGGACTCATTTGTGGGATTTTCAGTGTGACAACGATGGAGAACTCGGCGGGAAAGAAGTTACAATTAATGAAGAGCTGAGATGCAGGGAAACTGAACAGCTGTGGAGATCCAGAAAACTGGAATCCTCGAGAACCTCTGGACTGGACTATATGTATCCCGTCTTGCGCCGTGCCGGTCCCAGGAAGCACCCGAGACAGCAAGTCCAGTTGCAACAGATCTGTAAAAGAAATTCACATAAATTCATCATAAACCTGTGCATGTTTACTGTTTGCTTTAAGGAATTATGTACTGTCAGCTGCAATAAAATACCAAATTAATCATTAAATGGGCATGAAATATTGTTTTGAGCTGAAATTATTTAATCATGTGAGAAGAAAGAGACTGTAGAGAGAGAGAGACTACAGACAATACAACTATACAATTTGAGACAATTATTCTAATATCATATATTTTATTATATTATATCAATTATATCTAGTTGATATTCTAGTATTCTAGAGAGCCACATAATAATGGATTTATGACAAATGAAGACTTCAGTAATCCTATCCTGATCAGCCCTAAAGTAAAAATTGAAAATAAAAAATCACTATATGTAACAGAATTTTAAGACAAAGCCATGAATATATTAATGGGAGTAGGGATAGTAAAAGTGTGACTTTTATGACACTTTGATGACAGGAAAATTATATGAAACCACTCAATGAAAAGTCACATAAAAGATAAATTAAGGTAAACCACATATTGGATAGATATATTCTGCCGTTTAAAAGTTTGGGCTCACTAAATTGTTTTAAAGATTTTTTTAAATAATACTTTTGATCAATTTAATGAATGAATGAATGAATGAGGCATTTATATAGCGCTTTCCTTGCTTGCCATTTTAATGCATCTGTGCTGAATAAAAGTCACAGTAAACTAATTTATAATGTTACAAAATATTTCTATTTCAAATAAATGCTGTTCTTTTGAACTGTTCATTCATCAAAGAATCGTGATCAAAACTGTATCATGTTTCCACAAAAATATTAAGCAGCACAACTGTTTTCAACATTGACAATAATAAGAAATGTTTCTTGAGCAGCAAATCAGCATATTAAAATTATTTCTGAAGGATCATGTGACACTGAAGACTGGAGGAATGATGCTGAAAATCAGCTTATGGAAATCTATAGCAATAGAAATCTATTTTTGCATTTGATTTTTTTTTATATATATATATATATTTATAGTATTAAATAGTAATTTAATACTATAAATGAAACATTCAAAGTGTTCTTGTTTTGTTTTGACCCACTTCAGTGCATCAAAGAGGGAAATGGTTAGAGTGAAGACCACTTTATGGATCATATTTCAAAGACTTCAGCAAAGCAAAAGACACATTTTGGAAAGCAAACAGAATATCTCACATTCACATTTACAGCTCAGTGTTTTCAGTGTTCTGGTAGACTACACCTGAGATTCAGTGGGCCTGTAATGCTTCATAAGAAAACATATGTATGACTATAACTCTTAGCTCATAACTCTTATTTCTATATTAATTAAAATTCTGCATGATGTTCTGCTTGAAGAATTTTTAGGATAAACAGGATCACAGCTTAAGTCAGATTGTGCGAAAAGCTGTCAAAATCTTTGCCATTTATTATTCTTCAGCATTTTCAGTGGGATAAAATAACATCATAATTCTATTTAAATATAAACAGATCTGTTAATAGATCTGCATGTTACCAGACTTAATTTGCTCAGTGGGATACTAAATCTGTTCCTGTTCCATTATAATAAGCCCCTTTATGTTCTCAAAGAGTTCATTCAAATAAAAGCATGCAAGACAGTGATGAACGGTAGTAAAAAATGTCCCATTTTCACAGAGTGTCACTAACAAGTGAAGTTTTCTGAAGACATTTAATTCAAGCAACAGTTGCTACAAACAGTGAGCAGATATACATGGTATAGAATTGCTCCCTAATTGCCATTCTATGGTGCATGACGTCTTTCAGATGAAACCACTGTGCAACACCAGAGGTTTTCATAGAGTGGTTTACATCAGCACCTGGCAACCACATCTAATCTGTGTCTTCTAATACACCTACATCCCATGGGAACCGAGATATTCAGAGCGGCTTATCCTGATTGAGTAAATAAACCAAAAACAGGCTGACTTCTGACAATATAGTAATGTGACAATTACAATTGATTGACATTTGTGTCTGGATTTTTCATTCTTCTGAATGATCACGAACATCTGCCTTTAATTATGTTTCCGAAATGGTTTACTGAACATAAAGCCCATAATCCAATGGCAATTCAGTAGAAAGTCTGCAATAATTACTAAGGATAACAAGACTCAAATAGTGTCTTTAACAACTAGGACAAGTTGTGACTGAGACTGGACTTTTTCCCAAATAAAATCTGATAAAAAGCTCATTTTAAAAGATTCCCACTGATTATTCTTCCATCAAATGCTGCTAAAATTTGTCTGTTTATAGCTGCAAATGTGAAATCAGCGAGTATAGGTCTGACCTGTGCATGGTCTCCATGGTCCGGACTGGCAGGTGATGATCCAGGAGAGGAGCGCACAGGCCAGCAGCAGCAGCTCCGACATCAGGCTCTCCACTCGCTCAGCTCCATTCACACACGGCCAGGCTGAAACAAACCCATTCTCAAAGCCCAAAGACCATCCTTACATCCGCACGGCTCACAGAGCTTAAAACACAACAAATCAATGTTGAGGATGAGAAGATATCCAGGTGTCACTCCTAATTAAACTGGCATCTCATTTCCCTCTTGTAGATGCTGCAGTCCTCTGATGTCCTGTTTTAATCGTAATAAGCGTTACAGTGAATATATGATCAAACAAAATAAAACACAATGCACTTTTCTCACAAAATACATTTTCAAAAATCCAAACTTCTCTTGAGAGTCTATCAAAACTCCATAACTGTGAAGAACGTCCTCCTTAAACGGTGTCCGGCTGAGGTCGCTCTGCTTTGCTGTACATGTCAGTGTGCTGTGAAGGGGAGTGTAAACTCCACCTGTGAGTTATGAGCAGGGAGAGGTGTTTTACCCCGCAGACATTTAAATGAGAATAAGTCAGCTGTAGAAAGGAGGGGGTTGACGTTAAAGAGAGAGAAAGGTGGGGCGAAATGAAGCACACAGGAGAGGGAGGCTTTTTCCAGCTCTTATCTCATGTCTTAAAGGTTCATGAGGAATTCCCCACTGTTGTACATGTGTGTGTCAGGTTGCTCTTGTTCTAAACATGACTCTTTTCGATCGGTGTGATGAGCACTAATACCCCGAGGACTCTTTGTCAAGGAAATCTCCCTTTAACCAATCGTTTCCTCACCTGCATCTCAACCCATCAACCCATGTCTTGAACAACACCCCATATGTGACTGGCTGGAGGGGAAACAACATTTACAAATGTTTACAAGAAAAACAAAACTTAACTCTTCTAATTTGACAAATACAGTTCTGGTCATCGTTAATAATGGTTGATTAATTCAATAGTGCTGGTATACAGTTCACCAGCACTGGGACTCCTATGTAATGTTCATTTCACGCTGTGTGTGAGTAAAAGTGGAGATGTGTAATTTTGCCTGAAGCAAGGAGTGGATATTTTGTTAGTCAGAAAACAAAAAGTACTCTACTACAACTCAATCGTTTTTTACATGATCCTTCATTCATAACTCTCAGACTACTATAAATCTGCCTACCATCTTTTGATATAAGATATGTATTAACATGTCAGCAGTATCATAAAAATACTGACATTGACAAAGAGCTTATCATATTTAATGTAATACATGAAGTTAGCTAATGACTGAATAAGTAGGTCTACTTTGCGAGCCCTAAAAAACTATGTTTTACTACATTCGCCATGTTGTCATTATCATGTGACCTACCAGCGTCAGTTGCGTCGCTTCTCTGCCATTCACAAGTCCTCTCCCGTGGCCTCATGGGATAGTAAAGTGTCCATCGTATGCACACTTCAGAATCTCCCCGGAGAGTAGTAGAGAAGATTGCGATTTCGGATGCAGCCACTGTAAGTGGGACATATTATAATTATTCATGTTTAATGTGTCAAATCTTGTTTTGTTTTTTTTTCAAAATATACTCATCAGTAAACTAATTAAGTCTTAAATGAATTGTATACAATAATGTTTACCATACATTTCAACCTTAATTAAAACGGTTTAATGTTGAGGATAAAAACGATTAAAAAAAATTCTACATCAAAGCAGGGCAATAATAAGATAACACTAGATAATCACATATTTTGTCTTCAATTTCCTTCATCAAAGCTGCTCCAGTTTATCTGAAAATCTGTCATGGATTCTGAAGGTGTGAAGGAAAAAAAAAGCATAGATTAGCCTACACTTTAAAGGGATACTCTACCCAAAAATGAAAATTCTGTCATCATTTACTCACCCTCAAGTTGTTGCAAACCTGTATGAGTTTCTCTCTTCTGCCGAACACAAATGAAGATATTTTGAAGAACGATTGGAACCAAACAGTTGTTTGGCACTATTGACTTCCATAGTGGAAAAAAAAAAAATACTATGGAAGTCAATGGTGCCAAAGTTCCAATCGTTCTTCAAAATATCTTCCTTTGTGTTCGGCAGAAGACAGAAACTCAAACAGGTTTGCAACAACTTGAGGGTGAGTAAATGATGACAGAATTTTCATTTTTGGGTGGAGTATGCCTTTAAGGAAACAAGAGGAGAGCCAGTGGTTGGAATGACAAAATATTACATAAAACAAAACTGCAAGATGCCGAAGACACTGTCAAATGTTTGGTTGTGTTAAAATTGACTAAGTTTAAAGGAGAATAAAACAGAAACTACAACACGAGGGAAAGTGATCTTTCAAGGTCGACATTTATGTTCTCACTTCTCAAAATCCTCACTGATTTTGTGCCGCGATGCCAAAGATAATTTCAGTTAAATCCAGCATAATGGATGCAACTCTGCCATGTAAACAGATGTCAAATAGTGTTCAGTCACAGCAGTTAAACCCTAAATGCTTCCTGACAGAAGACTAAAAACACAAGAGACTATAAAAAAGCAGCAGTATTGAAGCTCATTTCTGCTTTTCTGTGGAAGTAGCGGCTCTTACGTTTCTGTTTTTGTTTCATTATCAGCTTGAGGAAGAATCCTGGCGTGTTTGGGCAAGTGAATATCCGATCAGTGCATGAGAGAAATGACAGCTACTGTTTGCATGTGAAGTTCCCTTTGGAGGGAAATAACCTCTGTGACATCCACAATAGAAACCCATCATTTTATTCTTATTTTACACAAATTGGACTGTTACATTTGAACTTTTTGAGTTATTTGAGATTCCCATACCTGATTAAAATGTGTCATAAGATGTGGTTGTGATAGAAATCAGTCAACATTTTTGGCATTGACACACACACATTCTAAAAAAAAGAAAGAAAAAGCCACACTTTAGATTAGAGTCCAATTCTTACTATTAACTAACTAAACTATGACTTTTGCCTCAATAAACTCCTAATTTCTGCTTATTAATAGTTAGAAAGTTGTTAAGTTTAGGTATTGGGTAGGATTACGGGATGGAGAATATGGTCATGCAGAATAAGGCATTAATACGTGCTTTATAAGTACTAATAAACAGCCAATATCCTAGTAATATGCATGCTACTAAATATTGAGAATTGGACCCTAAACTAAAGTGTTACCAAAAAAATGTCAGTTTGTCAAAATAAAAAATTGTATGTATGTATTAAAATAAAATAAATGTAAATGTCTGTTTCAAGCAGTCTCAAAAAAACAACAACCATCCAACCAAAGTTCGAGAATTCCCCTCCCCAGCTAACAGGGAACATTCTCAGAACTTTCGATGACGCTCTGGCAAGGTTTTCTCAAAGTTAGGACCAGTAACGTTAACATAGCGTTCTTTCAATATTATCTGGGATTTAATAATGTTCTTAAAAAATAAGCACAAAAACATTATTTATACATTTATAAAAATAAAAAAAATACTGAAACATTTTAGTTGTACGTTCATCTAATGTTTTTTTTTTTTTTTTATGTGATGCTTTTACAGCGTTTATGCAAAGAAAAATATATGGGGGAGGACTTGTGACTTGCTAACAAAAATATGTTGCCATCAAGTTATAAAAAAAAAAAAAAAGTAATACTCTGAACATTCTGAAATGTTCCCACAATTATTTAATTATAAAATGGAATGTTCCTTAAGGTTCGCATAAAAAACTGGACTGGACGTTTTAAATGTTCAGAGAACATTCAACCGTAACATTTTTATAACTTGATGGGAACTTTAGCAAAATATTCTTAGAATATATTTTTGTTACCTGTTAGTCACAAGTCCTCCACCATAAATTTGTCTTTGCAAATTTTTCTCAGTCGCTTTGGTGCATTTCTCAGATCAGAAATGAAATTCTCAAAACTACTTGTCAACCTCCACATCATCTAGTCACTTGTGCACATCATAAAAGCAGTTTCTCATTCTTTTGAACAAGTTCGTGAATCATGCAATTGATTATTGTCTGCGGTTTCCTAGATTATCAGTTGCTAATGCCATGTTGCTCAAAATGTATTAAATAGTTCTCTGTGCAATAGTCTTACCCATCAAAACAGTCATTACTTCATCGTACAAGTCATTAAATGCAAAATGGTTGATCTTGTTGTCATAAACTGTCAAGCATATTATCTACACATTTCTATTAGACTTTTTGTAAATGTGCCATGAATTGATGAATTGTGCAGGTGAATCTTGACTTTCACTAATGAAGAGAATGTAGATCAAACAATGAGAGACCAGTTCTCTAAAATAGCTCAAAGTTGCACCTCATGAACCTTCAATTGGCAAGCATATATACAGTGCTGCATGCAAAAGCAAAGTTCTGCCTAAGGGGTCTTTCCTGTGTTTGCCTTTCTAATGTTGTATTTTCGCCTTTGTGCCCCTATTTCTTTTTGTTTTCATCACAATAATATTGTAATGTTTTTTTGTTTTTTTTGTCAGACCACTAGTAAAAGTGTAACTGTGAATCCTATCCAGTCTCTTTCAATCAATAACTCACGTCCAGTAGTGTGTAAATTTGTACTTTTGAAATGGATATATGGGACACAGAAGAAGCGCAGCTTTGTACATTTCAATACAGTAACTGTCATCCAAACTGCCATAGTTTACATCAGGTAATACTGACGGAGTGCAGTGTTTTATTGACAACTTGACTAAGCATTTTGACTATCTTGTTTGTGAACAATGACACAAGGACTTTTCATTCTGATGGCACTGGTATGTTCATTGACATAAATACTTACTTTTGAGAGATGAACTAAAGATTTTGAGTAAGGCTTACAGGCTTTTGCAGGTAATCCAAAACATTCTCATCCTTTGGCGTCATATAGGTGACGCCATATGACATTTCGTCGAAATCTTACGCACATGGCATTCTTTAGCGTCAATATAACACGCACTGTTATGGGTAGGTTTTGGTCTGGGGTAGGGTACGGTTATGACGCCTTGGGATCTGCGTCTCATATTGACGCTAAATGAAGTTTTATGTAAACAAAGTTCGGGAGGAGCATGTTCAGGTAATCATCCAATCAGCACAAGAAGAAGCCAGTATAAATAAAGCCTTCCCTTACCTCCTGTCTCATGACTAATTTCTCAGCACCCCACCTCCACCCCTTCACCCCACATCGGCTGGGTCCGCTCATAGATTCCTATGATCTCTAAGGTTATGGGGGGAGTACTCTGGGGTCGGGCCGAATTCTGAGCTCGGAGCCCTCCCCCCGGACAGCAAGCCAAATACGCATTATAATATTACATCAGATTTCATTAACATGTAAACTCGTGAAAGGATGCCATGTGCGTCGGATTTAGACGAAATGTCAAAACCGTCACATGTATGACGCCTTGGATTTTGCGTCTCATATTGACGCTAAAGGATGCCATGTGCGTAAGATTTCGACGAAATGTCAAAAGCGTCACATGTATGACGCCTTGGGATGAGAACGGGCTGGGTAATCCAATGTCTGGTGCTGTTTGTACGAATTGTTTTGAGAATGCACATATTTCTTTGCAAATATTAAGGATGATTTGAGAAATGCACCAAAGCGACTGAGAAAAACTGTAAAAGCAAACATCTGCGTTTAGTGTTCAGCCTGAGGGCTGTGTGAGGTCAGCTGGCTGTGATATTTCACTCTAATACATTGTAACGGGGCAGCTAATAGTTGGGCGGCTACATTGACACTTGCAGTAAGCCTGTAATCAGGAAGGGAAGCAGCCCCAGTCATTAGTGAGGGACATGCTCCCTTACAGCTCCCTGCCTCAATCACTGAATCTCACCTACTCATTAACCCTCCAACTGACCACCTGACCTCAGGAGCTCCACACGCAACTACCCGAGCCTGACCCCATGACTACATGATGATGTCATGAGACACAGCAGATCTAATG